CGGATTCTCTGCTAATGGACATTTCTTCTCTACTTGACAGCAGCAGGTTACCGTGTCAGGGAGCCTGTACCATCCTGTCAGAACCTCCATGCTTCCCACAACTGCTTTCCTAGACCCAGTCAATAACTCACTCTGTCTCCCCTCTCCTGCCTGTCTTCCCCTTGCCTTGCCCTGTGTATGCGTGCCTTGTGATCTTCTACACTCTAGCAGAAGTCTCTGAGCTTCACGTCTCCATGTTCAGGCTCTCCTGGTATTTCTCATCCATGTCTCCATCTGGACATTACCCTCTCCCCATGTTAATCTATCTGTTCTTTGAGTTCAGCCTCTGCATCTCTATTTCTTGGTCTGTTTCTTCTGTGTGTCTGGCCCTTTCTCTTTGGGTGGGTCACAGTCCCAAGCCCCGAGTGCTCTGACTCCCCAGCAGTGGTCGGAGGGGCTGGTGGTGGTTGGCACTCACGAGGGTCAGATAACGTGGGGCTATGAGATACCCAGAAATGTCCAGGTGGGAAGGACCACTGGCAGTGACCCCCAGACTGGAGGAGACCCCCTGTCCTACCCACCAGCCTGGACAGTGCTGTATGTGTGGTGGGGGGGTGGATAGAATGGAGAGCTGCCCAAGTGTCTCCCTCAGCCCCTGCTGGGGACTCTTGCCCTGCTGCTGGCTTGGAGCATACCCAATCATTGCAACCCGTGGTTGATTTGCTGATTTGGGGCCACTTTTGGGAAGACCAGTCTGCCAGCCTTTGCTGCTAATAGGGAGAAGCTAGAAGGGAAACCGGAGCTCCAAGAGGCTCTTCTTCCTTTGTCTGGAAGCTTTTGGCTCCTCTTTTGGCTCCAACCCCTCCTTATCCATCACAGCTCACACCCCTGCACTGCAGTCTCAGTCCCAATCACAGAAGTGGCGCTCTTTTCTTTCCATGGCCTCCTTTTCTTCACCTCTCTGGGATTGCTGAGTCTCCCTCACTACCCTTGGGGATGCCTACTTGAGGGACCAGGGCTCTCTCCTTGGTCCTGGGATTTCAGAATTGGGAAACTCTATAATTGGCTTTGTTTTGCGAAAACTCAGCCCCCTTGTTTTGCAAACTAGAGGCCAGGGCCCAGTGACTTGCCTAAGGCTACATGCCTAGTAAGTGACAGAGATGGCACCAGAACCAGATTCTCAGTCCATGGGTCTTTCCAGGACCCAATATGGCCTTCCTCCTGTGGCTTGTGGGAAGACCCCAGGTTGAAGCTAGGGCTGCCTCAGGCCATAGGGGCATGGGCTTCCTTTTTCCTCATTCACTCTGTGCTCTGAGAGGTTCTCTGGCTTCCTTTACATGAGCATGGGTGACTGTCTGTTGTGGGCATCCTTGCTCTGCTGGAAGGTACAGGGACCCAAACATCTGCCCACCAGCTGTTGGCCCACAGCTCCAAGCCAGGAAGGGGGTGAGGCCAAGGACTTACTGCTCCCATCTCCACTGCCTCTACCCCCCATCAGATGGGTGACTGAGTGGGAGGACCACACACATGCGCACACACGCGCGCACACACTGCCTGGATTCCACTTAGTCCTCATGTCCCTGGGTTGGGCAGAAAGTGTGGTGGCTCTGAGGCCTGGATGCTGGGGTTCTGACCTCCGCTGCCTGCTGACCTCAGTTTACTCTCACTGTCCTACTGCTTCAGGGCACAGCAGCCGCCCTGGCCTCTTTCCACCCCACCCACAAGCAGGTTGGAAGCACAAAGGGAAACACCACAGCAGTGGCCAGGAGAGTGAGTGCAGGACCCCGGTAATCAGCCTCCATTCACTACCAGCTGTGTAACCTTGAGTGAAGCACTCAGCCTCCCTGGGGCTCGGTTTCTTTTTGTAAAATGAGGGGGCTGGATACCTCAGAAACTCTTGGAGTTTCTTTCCAGAACTCATGACAGAGTTCCTTGACAGTCCGTTTACTGTCGCTGCTGTAAGTGAGACTCCCCAGGGGCCCCACCCATCTCCCAACAGATCTTGGCCTTGACCAGGACACACCCTGCCAGGGAGGAGCACTCGACTTTGCACGTACCGTTCTTTCCAGAGGGCTCAGGGTGATGGCAGGATCCAGGCCTCCCCCGCTCCCAGGTGCCCCATTCACTTACTTCTCATGACTGAGCCTGGGCTTTGCCGCCTTGGCTCACAGTCCTTCTCAGTGGAGAGTGGCCCAGGGATGGGGTGCAGCTGGCAGCAGATTGGGGGCGAAGCCCTCTCAGCAGTGCCTCAGCCCGCAGCTCTGCACCTAGCTCTCCCCCGGTGCTTCTGGGCAGGGGGGTTTAAGCTCAGCACCACACAGGTGGCCAAGTGACACCCCCCCCACTCCACCCCCCAAGGGTGCAGCGGGTAGGATGACAGGCACCCCACGTGGCCAATCTGGGCCTGAGCAGGGTATGAGGGGCGGGGCAGCCAATCGTAGGGGGCGTTGGAAAATTCCAAAACCACATGCGACAGCCACACGCGGTAAAAGCTGTTTCCACCCGCCAGGGTAGTTCTGGCTGGGGAGCTGGAATGGAGCTCACAGGAGCATGGGGCCAGGTTCCTGCTCCCCCTCCCTCTGATGACCCCTGAGCCTGACCCTCTTTGCCAGGTGACTCCAGGGACAGGGATGTTTCCCGAGGTAAGTCACAGGATGTCTGCCTGGTTGGTGGCATGTGCCACCTGAGACCCTGTAGACTGCCAACAGCCATGCACAGCATGGTGGAGTCTGGGGGCTGTCCCACCACCCACCATGCCCACGCTCCTCCCTACAGACATGATGTATACTCTGGACTAGGGAAGAAATGAAAATAGTAGTAGGGGCAGAAATCATCAGGTAAACACGCAGGAATTTCCTCAGGAGCAAAACTGCTAAAATTGGAATGCAGAGAATGAAGATTCTCTTCTTTGTCCTCCCCATAATCATAATGATAGTGCTTACTGTGTGCCGGGAACGGTTCTAAATGTTTTATGTGGATTATCTAACCCTCACGAAATACTTTATGAGGTAGGCTACCACTGTCCCCATTTCAAAGATGAGGAAAGTGAGACACAGAGAGGTTAAGTAACTTGCCCAAGGTTACACAGCTGGTAAGTAGTGGAGTCAGGATTCAAGTTCAGGCAGATTGGCCTCAGATCCCACTTGAGGGATGAGAGTGTTTCTCTGGTTCAAGTCTGCTTTGGAGGGTGTCCTAGCTTGGAAGGTCTCCTGGCATGTGAGTTTCTCTGTAGAATTTCTTGATTGGGGATCCTTCTGAGGGGTGAAAAAATTTCAGAGGCCCTCTCAGCCTCATATCTGCTCTGCAGGGTACCTCAACCTTGGGAATCCCTCTTCAGGGCCCCTCATAATCAGACCTCCTCTTGGTCTGGGGGTACCTTTGGGTTCCTCATCTTGGACCCCTTCTTGGGGTTTTCTTAATTCAAGGGCCATTTTTCAGTCTTTCCATTTTTCGGAGGTCTTAATAGCTCTGGATTCTCTGGGCCAAACCTCCTAAGATGTCTTTGATCTTGCTAGGACTCTAGCAGCTCCTAAGCCAGGTACAGGCCTTTCCCTGCTGGACTTCCTGGGGCCTCAGGAGCTGGACAGTGGATTGGGGGAGAGGCTGTCAGCCCGGATCTTCATGAGGACACTCATGGGTGGGGGTGAGGGATGGCTGCAGAGGGCCAGGAGATTGGGAAGGGGATAAGGAAGTATGGTCCTGGCCGAGGTCTCTGTGGTAAGGGGTTAAGGGTAGGAATGGGTTTGGCCTCTCCCAGTTCCCGCTGCTCCAAAAGTCCCCCTACTCCCCCCACCCACATATGGTCCCTGGCCCCCTCCCCCAGCTCACCCGCGTCACTCCCTGACCCGCTTTCCTCCCAGGGCCCTGCTCAGCATTTCCGTGGGGCCCTGTGGCTAGGGGCAGACGAGGCACTAATCAGGATTGTGCTGAGCAAAGCAAGCCCCCACCCAAGAGGGTGTAGTGTCCTAGACAGTCCGTAGCCCCTGTCTGGCCAGCTCAGGCAGGAGGGTGATGCCTTGCCCTATGAGATGTCTCTGCGTGGAACAGGGAGGCTCTAGGGGATTTTGGCAGTGGGAGGTGGGCAGTGAGCTCTCAGGAGGAACTGGCAGGCAATCCAGGGAAGGCCATGGGGAAGTGGAGGTGGCCTTTCCCACCCCAGAGAGGTCCTCACCAGTTCAGGGCCCCATGCTTACGGAAGCCTTCCCCAGAGTGCCCTCGGGCTGCTGAGGGCCTGCATGGCCTGATGGGCATAAGTTTTGGACTGAGGTGGAATTGGTGCCTTTTCTGGGGGAGTAGCCTCTCCCACAAACTAAGAGACAGATCTGATGTGCTGAGGGATCCTTAGAGAGGATGCTTACTCACTAGAGTCCACTGGGAAGTCCTTCTTGAGCTCTAGCCCCTTCTCACATGCTGTAGTCTCAGTCTTTCAGGGCCCCAAGGCACAGAGTGTCATTCTGTTCATTCACAGATCCTGTTCATTCTGTTTCCTACAGAGACTTTCCTGACCTCCAAACCTGCACAACCTGGCTCTAGGCTTGTTCACACCTCAGGATGTGTTAACCACAGAGAACACCAAACCTGGCTGTGCCACCACAAAACCTGGTGCAGGCTCCCTGGCCTCCCTTAGTGGTGGTGCTGAGTTCTTGAGACCACCTCCTCTCCCTCGCTCTCCATCTCCTGCCCTCCTGGGCCCAGCAGTCTGGCCCGCCCTCGCCCCCACCTGTGCCTCTGTCCAGCACCTCTCCCCTCTGCATGGTTTCCTTTTCCTCTGTGCTCTCCCTGTTTCTTTACAGGCTTCCCTTTCGCTCTTCAGGCTTCTTCCTTATCTACCCCCGTGGCGCTTATCTGTGGTTTCTTCACCCCTCCCCTTCCTTTCCTCTTCACCCTTCTATTTTCCTGGCTCGACCTCCCTTCAGGCCCATGCCATCCTGCCCTGCGCCTCCATCTCTGTCCCAGAGCCCTTGCTGAATTCTCCATCTTGCAAACCCTGCACCAGTTCTTGCCCCCATCCCCCTACTCACAGGTGTGGGTCTTCTTTGCAGCCAGCAGCTCTGTAAAGGGAAAAGAGGGGTTGAGGTCAAAAGTTGAAGACCAAGGCGGGGATGAGACTCTCCCCCATTCACAGGATCCCACCTCCTTCCTTCCCAGCAGAGCCTGGCGCCTGAGGAGAGGGTGGGCTGACTGCGCAGCGCTCCCCTCTCCTTCCTCCTCTGCTCTGCGGCCATACTGGCCCTCTTCCAGGTCCTCCGAAGTGCCCGGTTCCCCACTGCCTCTGGGACTTCCCCAAGCTGCTGCTCCTGCCTGGAATGCCCTTCCCTCCCACACCTCCTAATCTAACCAACTTCCCTTCATCCCTCAGGTCTCAGATTGTATCTCTTCTTTGGAGAAGCCATGCGAGCCCCTCCCCGCCCTCGTGCAGACACACTCAGCACCTTGTATTTGATTTAGGGGCACTCAACACATGACTTGACTGCTTTTTGTATAGCCCCCACTGTTTATGAAATGGATCTTTCTTGCTCTATTGTAAGCCCTGTGAAGGGACTGTGTCTGTCTTATTCACCTTGTAATTTCCACATTAGCGGTGCACAATAAATGTCCTGCAGCCAGAGTTAAGTCTCTGTGGGAGTGAAATCTCTTAGTTTATCCATGCCTGAAAGCACCAGGGAATTCCAGAGGTATGGGAGTTGGGAGTAGGGTGGAGAGGATGTTTGTAGGAAGAAGAAGGGAGAACTGAAAATACAGACCCCTCTCTGGCTTCCACGGGCCAGGCTTCACTGGCCCAGCAGCCTGCAGAGGGACAAATCCCTTCCCTGCTGCTGCATGGTTGGGTCTGGGGGGAGACCAGGCAGTAGGGAATACAGGTGGTTGATGGGGGTTGCAAGTCTGCACAGACCTCCAGAAGGGGCAGCTGCTGAGGGGAGAGCCCTTGCTACAGCATGGCTGGGGGGTCATTCACTCATACAGTTAGCATTTATGAAACACTTAGCAAGGGTTCCTACATCTGCCTAGCAGTGCCTCAAAGAGCACGGGGCCAGTCTTTTGTCCTAGAAAGCCCTCCAGCCCCACCTTATGCCCCCTACAGTTTCCTTAACATCTGGTTCTGTTCTGTTACTTTTTTCCTCCTGCTGTCCAATCCCGACACGCATATACACCACACACGCAACAAAGAGCACGGGGCCAGTCTTTTGTCCTAGAAAGCCCTCCAGCCCCACCTTATGCCCCCTATAGTTTCCTTAACATCTGGTTCTGTTCTGTTCCTTTTTTCCTCCTGCTGTCCAATCCCGACACGCATATACACCACACACGCAGACTGTCCCTCTGCCTGGAAGATGCTCTTCACTAGCAGGCTTCCTACACCGGGCTGCCTTGGGGTGAGTGGGCCTGATGGCTTAGGCTCTGCTGGGATGGGGGAAGGGGGAGGACTGCCTGCAGGGGGCGTGGCTCCCACCTGGCCCCACCCAGCTTCCTCCCTGACATGGCACCTGTCTCTCTGGCCTCCAGCCTTGCACCTCAGAGCAGAGCTGGGATGGGGGTGCTCCCCTTGCTTGCCCGGGCAGCTGAGTTCTTCCTCCACCAGGCAGCTCTGGAGCTTGGCAACTCCAGAACTCATACTTTTCCCTCGGTGCTCATGGCTGACCAAGCGTGTGGCCATGGGATCCTGCTCTGAGGGGGTTCCTGAGTTAGACTGTCAGTGGGGACTACCTGATTGTCCCTCCCTGCCCCTGGCCCAGTGTCCCACACTGTGCTGAAAATGAAACCCCATACCCCTGGGCCAGTGGGGAGGAAAGTGTCAGGCTAGTGGCCACAGGCAGCCGACAGAATGTGATTGCTCTCCCCACCCCCAAGTCTGTCACTCCTTAAAGGCAGGACAGGTTCCTCCACTGGTGAATGCCACCGCTGCCCAGGGGCCTGGCCAGCTGAGATCAGTAAAGCAGTGTCCTCACCACCTCCCAGGGGCACGCTCATACCTGGGAGAGTTGCCCACATTCTGATCCCTCCCTTGATCTAGCTTCCCTGACACTGCTCTCTCCCTCCCCTCCCCCATTCCAACCTGTCTTTTCCGTCTTCACCTCTTCCTTTCTTTCCCCTTTTCCTATTTCTCCTCCTCTGTCATTTCCCCAGCCCCTCCTCCTGGTTCTCCTTCAGTTTCTATCGACTCACCCTGCTGCACTCCCCTGCCAATCCATCTCTCTCTCCTCTGTGCTCTTGTCCCTGCCTCCCCTGCTCACTTCTTTCCCAGTCTCTTCCATCTCTCCTCTCCTCTGAGCCTCCTGGCTGTCCCTTCCAGCTGCCTGCAGGGCTGTGGGGCCTCTTACCCCGTGAGGTTCGGTGGTGTCTCTGTGGGGCCCTGTCCATGGGGCAGCTCCCTTGGTGCCGTCCTTGCTGCCCTGGCTGCCCAGGAGGGCAGGGAGCAGGGCCCAGGGGAGGGAGGCGGGAGGAGGGAGGGAGCACCTGGCCTGTCAGCAGGCAGGGGAAAGGAGTGGCTGGCAGAGCGTCCTGGCACCAGGAGGGGACGTAGGAAGAGACCAGTGGACCAGAGTCTGGAGCCTTGAGGAGAAACAGGATAGGTGAAAGGAAGGGAACTAGCCTTTACTGATCACTTACTGTGTGCCGGGCCCTTTGTCAGGCACTTTATGTAAATCCATGATGTTACTTTTTATGTTACTCCTCACAACACCCCCCACAGGGAAGCATAATTATTCTAGATTTTCTAATGAATCAAATGATGCTCAGAGATATTAATTTCTTACCCAAGGATTTGCCCAAGGACAACAAGCAGTTGATCTATGACTTGAACCCAGGTCTTCAGGCCTTCAGAATCCTGTAGTTTCTTTATTTTTTATTTTTTTATTTTTTAAAAGATGACCAGTAAGGGGATCTTAACCCTTGACTTGGTGGTGTCAGCACCACGCTCAGCCAGTGAGCTAACCGGCCATCCCTATATGGGATCCGAACCCGTGGCCTTGGTGTTATCAGCACCACACTCTCCTGAGTGAGCCACGGGCCGGCCCCTAGAATCCTGTGGTTTCTACCTAAGACAGGTGACAGGAACAGGGAAGATGGGGAAGGGAGGGCATATTTGGGGGGATTCTGCCTTTTCTCCAGGATGAGGTCAGACTTGTCCAGTGGTTCCTTGGCTCCTTAAGGCCACTACCTGCTTGGCCCCTGTCCCTGCTGCCCTTTCTTAGAACTCCCTGACTCCCCGAGGCTTCCACATGCTCCTGGTTTGTTGGGGGCCAGGGGCAGGCCTAGAGGTGTGTGGAGGGAGAGGAACAGTGGGAGGGGAGAGAAGAGGTGAGACCTCCACTGGACCAGTAGGGAGGAGGAGAGCCACACAGACTGAGCAGGCCCACTCTGAGGCCTGCACTGAAGGGTCTGCAGAGGGCCAAGGATCCAGGATGCCACTTTTCTGCATGGCCTGGGCCCAGAGTTTGATTAGCTGGGCCTGGCTCTCCTAGTTACCCAACAGGAGCTGGCCAGGTGCCAGGCTGCAGCAGGAGGTTCCCTGGCACCTCCTCCTGCTCTCCTTCCAGCTGGTAAACAGCAGAGCAGGAGCCGGCCACGCCAGAGCCTCGTGACTCACCCACTCCCCCCACCTGGAGCACGTGGCACCTGGTGTGGAGAGCGCAGGCAGCTGTCCCTTCCATATTCTGCCCTCCCATCTCACCATCTTCCACTCCTGCCCTACCCTGGAGCTTCACACTCTTCTACCATCAGCACCTCTATTCCTGGGTAGCTCCCAGAGTCTTCCAATGTCTGCAGCTTGAGGGACAAAGGTCAGATGTGGAGAAGGACTTTCCAACTCCTAGAGTGGTTGACAATGGCACGGAGTGTAAGGAAAAAGGAGGGGAAGCTTCTGGGGAGCTTCTTGTACTGTGAGTCTGAGGGTTTGTGTCTGCGCCTGCAAGGCTCTGACTATCCCGGTGTTCTTCCAGCAAGTGCGGGCCCACGTGTCTATGGACAATTCTCTGTATAGAACAGGATGTCAGTCTGTTTGGAGCTCTGCTATTGGGCAGGTTTGGAGTAAGAGGCAAAGCTTTCTGTGGCACCACCCCACCCGGTACCCTCTGGCTGACAAGCGGAGCCAGCAAGGGCAGGGGACAGGTTGCAGGGGATGTGGGGGGCTTGCTGGGCAGTGTGTTTCTACTCTCCTCTCTCCAGAGCTCCACAGTAATCCTCTCTCCACCTCTCCCTGCCTGGCCCTGCCTGGCCAGGACTCTCCTGTTTTATGTGCCTCCCCAGCACTCCCCTCTCTATCTCTCTTCCTCTTAGGCCTCTCTTTCTTGGTCACTCTGGGTCTCCTGGGGCCCTTCCAAACCTCCGACCCCAATTGTAGGCACAGAGTGGGGGTCATGCAGAATTATTGCAGGCAGGCACTCAGCACCCTAAATATTGCAGCTATGGCTGCCTCTCCCAGTTGTGCTGCTGCGTGGGGTGGAGAGGAAGTGACTTGGGGTTGGGAAGACCGGGTCCTAGCCGCTGCGCCTAGAGAGTCACATGCTTCCTAGGCATTCTCATGTCTCTGCTCCTTCCCTGCCCTAATCATTGATGGCATAATCCCCAGGACAACAAGCTACCTTTGTTATCCTTTTGGGAGTCTCCCCTCTCACTTAACCTTCTTGCTGCAATCACAGCCCCTTTTCTGAAGGAATCAGTCCTTTCGAAGGAGGGCAGTAGTTATTTCCTTTTCAAATACATTTTACATTCTTATGCAAGGAGGAGGCTGATAGAGATCAGAGAATCATTTCACCCCCACGTGCCCAGTCCCCTTATCAGGCTGGGGAATCTCAGTGCAGGGGGCAAACAGCCTAGAGGAGGCAGGAGGTGGTAGTGGTGGCTTGGAACTGGAGAGCAGTCACCAACTTCTCTTTCCCTTCCTCTCCACCCCCAAACCACAGAAACCACTTAAAGCTCAGCATAAGCCTTCCCTTCCAGGGAGGGCCTGGGGGCTAAGGGTGGAAAATATGTGAGGCCTGGGCAGCCTGCAATGCCACACACCACCCAGCCCCATCCTTGGAGGGCCATCTCCTGTGAGAAGCCTGATCCAGAGATTAGGGACCACCTTCTTTGTGTTCTAGGTCTCCCCATGCCTGGGGAGACCTCCCCCCACCGTAGTGACTCAGGGAGGGGGCTGTGCCTCAACCGTTAAAAAGTGGACAACCCAGGTTCTATGAACACCTGTAGTCTCCACCCCTCCCCCTTCCAGTCACAAAGGCCACTGTGGGTGGAGAGAACAGTGGAAGTTTGACCCTAGCTCCTGGCCTTGAACTTTCCAGGATGACCTCTCATCTATCAATTAACATTTATAGTCACAGGCTTACAG